AAACCTCCTTGGCCTGGTTGAAATGGTCCTGCTCAGTGTCGGTGTGGTGATGTTTGTGGCTTTTATGATTTCATATTGTGCATGCAGGTCAAAGAAAGTAAAATAAGTAAGTGAAAAATAATTCTGTTAACACTCTTCTGTATTACATGTTTTTATTTTGACAAAGTGAGGTTACAAATGAAATATTTGTTGACGTAGCTATCAAATTAACTTTTTTTAAAAAAACTATTTAATACTTCCTCGTTTTTCAGGTGTTTGATGTAATGTAAATTAAGACACACTGATATCTTGATTTGGGGAGATGATTTTGGAAAGAAGTATCATATATAAATATAATTATTTAAATACATACATTATATATTTATACATGTATATTATATAAATATATGTAACTCTCCTCAAATCCGCTACTTTTTATAATTTCTTGTCACAAATGTCAGGAATTATGTATTAGTATTTTTCCAATCTTTAACTGTCTATAAATAATAGAGAAATGAATTTTAGTCTAAAGCTTATCTTTGTAGTATGTTCACAATGTTGCCAAATGCAAACGAGGACATAAACTGCTCTTCCTCTCAACTCCATCAGACTTTTTCTCTGGACCTTGAGAAATAGGGCCAAATAATAGAAATTGTGTTATTGTAGATATATAGAATTTGACTATAAACACCTTCATACCTGCACGAATGTGAACTGTAATACCATTTCTACTCAATAGGAAGTAATCGGAGTCTCTGCACTCATGCACCAGCTACATCGGAACTTGGTAACATCGGCGTACAAAATGAAGACCTTATCTCTTAGTTGAAGAAACGGACGGCATTACTTTTTTTGCCCTAACCAGCAGCACCTTTCTAAAGGATAATTATGATGCCATTTAAAATCCATCCTGTCCCCAAGAAACCATCAAAGTCAGAGCTTAGAAAATGGAATCGATCGCAGTTTCTATGGACGTGGCTCAAGCAAGGATCAATTTGGAACTGATTTACAAGTTGGTTCTGTGAGAGGACTGGACACTTGAAACAAGTCCTGGGCCCTTGCCCCTCCTGTCTTCCACATCAAGGTGCGAACACCATCTTCACCAGTGTCTCTGTTCCTGCCTGATTGTGGCCGACAGATCCTAGGATTGGTGTTAGTACAACACATGCTATGAAATGAACACCAAATGTTGACATTTAATAACACAAAATGATGGATTTACTGGTTGAGCCATTTACTATCCATTACTTCATACCTTTCTTACAGAACCCTTTGTACAGTGGCAATAGGCATCATAACATGTTTCTTACTTTATAACAATAGAAGCATATATATGCCACTGATCATGCAAATGGATATCTTTCTGGCACATTTTACCTATTCATGTTTATAAACTTTGTCATTTGTTAAGTTACACAACTGTTTTGAAAATCTGAGTAGACTTTAACCTTTCTACTCAGTTGCAACTTATGCTTGGCAAGTTAAGAAATGCTGTTGCTAGTATTAAAGGATGTAAATGATAATAAAGAATTATTATATTGGAAATACAAGAGTAGAAATTGCATTAATAGTTCTGGTATGTCCTGCTTTCATAGAGACTTCATAAACACTGGTTTAAACCATTAAAAGTCGTTCTTTAAAATCTTATGTTTTGTCTAGTTCTTGTGGTGCTAAAAATTTTGCCCTCATTTTCCATCTGAATTATTTATTTTTCCAGTACCATATATTTATAAATTCATATTTTTCTGAAATATTCTTAATCCAATTTTTACTACTTTCTCCTAGCCAATTTTCAAGCCAATGAGAGAGAGATTTTAACAACTGCTATAATTTGAGATCTGTAAGTTGTTTCCTTTTCAAAGACAAATTGATAGGTAACAACACTTTAGCAGAGATTCACTGACGACAGAGAATTCTAACACTCCTCCAAAATCTTCAGTATAGATGGAGGATGCAGCTTCCATTCTGTCTTGTGTTTTACACAATGCAGAACCAGAGGAAGTACTAACAGGTACTTTTTCATTAGAAACTGATGTGTAGGATATGCATATGCATGTCATTTACTACACACGTAATTTACTAACAATTTCTCATTATGAATTACTGTTGCTATTGTATGCCTTCACAGTGGAATCGCACTCGTGGCTGATCCTCAAGGGAGGTTTCAGAGGTAGTGAACACACAGGCGGGGACTCCCCAACGCCCCCCTGTGGAGCAGTTGCTGGATTTAAATCATGTACTTTTTGGTGGGCACTGCAACTCTTCATCACTAACGCACCAGAGGTCTCTATGATTTCAAATTAGCTCCCCCAAAGCCTAATTCAAAGCATATACAGAAGTTTGTAATAACTTTAGGCTGCAATTTTGTGACAAACATCAAAGCATTGTTGAGAGAGCTTTGGTGTTAAAAAGGTGCACTGCAGTCCTGAAGGCATGCAATTTGAACCCACGAGCCACTCAGCTGGAAAAAGATGGACAATCTCATGTCAGGTAGCACTTCTTTAATATTTACTTTATGCACAGAAAGTACTCAACTCACTGCCTTCAAGACTATTCAAACTCATAGTGGCTTTTATCAGATGTCCAAGGACCAGCGCATACTGCACTAAGACAAGTGCACGGTTAACTGTGTACCGGGAAAAACACTTGACCAACAAACCACACCCAACTGGAAAGCTACATACAATTTTGTCCTCAATCAGGCTTAAGAAAGCAATTTGTTGTAATCCATGAGCAACCTGTAATTTAAGAATATCTTTTATCTAAGTCACCAGGGTAACTAGTGAACAATGCTATTAAAAACCCCAATGTAATACAATATGATTAGAAATTTGACAATATCCACAATTACTAAAACCCACACTGATTAACTTACTATTTAATTTTAGAAAAATAGTAACAGATAAGGAGACATTTTCTTCTCACAATTTAGACATTGTTTCTCACAATCAAAATTAAAACATCTCTTTGTGTTAGTATCTTGTGTGCCATTGAGTCAGAACTGACCCTCAGCTGATCCTCCAGTAGGTTTTCAGAGGGTAAAGCACATGAGAGGTGACTACGCATCCTTCTCCCACGGAGCAGCTGGTGGATTTGAACTTCATGTTTTTGGGATTGCAGTGCAGTTTCTTACCACTAGGCCACCAGGATAGCTTAAGCTAAGAAATTTGTAGTCTGTACTTTGTAAAGTTAAAAATGTTCAAAAGGATTGGATGAGGAAAAGACATCCTTTTTGTCTTTTATACTTAGGTCATGTAGCTAGGCGAGGCTATTCCTTGTAAAGAGACATGACGCTCAAAGATGGAGGGTCAGTGAAAAAGAGGAAGCTCTCCAATGAGATGAATTGGCACAATGACTTCAGCAAAGGGCTTGACTATGTCGGAGGTTGTAACGATGGCACAGCATAAGGCAGGGTGCTGGTCCGCTGTTCATGGGGTTGTTATGAGTTGTATTTAAATTGATGGCACCTAAAAACCCTTTAAGTGAAGTAAAACTTATACTTAACAAACTCCAACTCTTTAAGTAATAGGAGGTAGAACTTTTGAGTAAAAGAAACTAAGGTTTGGATAGTGTATATTTTGGGGTCTGGGGGTTCTTTTGGATATATCTTAAGTTAACTTTCATTTTAGGGAAGGCACATGATTTTCAATGAGGGTGACTGTTGCACTGTGACTGTATATGGTTGAAGCTATAAGCTTTGTTCCTTAGAAAAACTACACTATTTTGTTAAGCATAATTTCATCTCATACAACATAAAACCACAAAAACCATGGCTGTTTTTTAATTTATATCTATTGTAAATGGGTTAATACTGTGCAAGTGCAGTATGTGCTTTAAGAAATAGCACAATAACTTTTGCAGCTTTTGGTTTCAAGGGAAATAGAACAAGATGGAATTATTTCAGAGGAGAATTATGAAAGCTATGAATGTATTGGTTATCTCAAATTTTGCTCTGTCAATGTATGGAATGCTTGCATTAAGATTTTTGCATAAGCAATAAGCCACCAAACTTTTAACCTATTATCAATGTTTGAGCCACACACTATCTCTCCAGCTGGAGTTTGTGGTGGGTGTGTTAACAACTGATAATTCCGCTATTCTGTTTGAAGTCCGTTGTATTAGTGACACTGTGGCCACTCTGTCTGCTCTCTTGGCCTCTCTCCCATTCTAAGTGGATGTTGGACTCTGTTTAAATAATCACTGTCCATTACGATTTCCTGCAGATACCAACATAATAGCTTGTGATTGGTTTTACCCTGGGTTTATTTGCAGTCAGCTGAACTAATGAACTAAAAAGTTAGCACGCTATGTTTGTGTTTTAAAATATATGCAGGAACAATCTGTTCCTTTATTTTGTGACTCAAAGGTAGCTGGAATTTTAAATTTTGTGAAAATAAAAACTTCTTTTACTTTAAAATGTTTTAAAAATATATTTGACTTTGACAAATATTTTTTACTATTGCTATTCTCATTTTATATCGAGCTCTGAATTGCCTATTTAAGAGTCATCTTCATATCCTTCCTGCTTTCATTTCCCATCAAGTTGTCCCCCAAACAATGGGGACCGGTATATGACAGAGTAGAACTTCTCCAGAGGCTTCCCCTATCTACAATCATTTGGAAGCAGATTCCTAGCCCTGTTACATAGGATGCCACTCAGTGTGCTCAAACCACCAGATTCTCTATGCAGTCAACGCCAGACTGGCTGGTCGTATCACCCTGGTTTCTGGCCTAGTGGTTAAGGAGTCGCATTGCCAATCCAAAGTAAGAGGCTCAAATCCAGCCACTGTTCTTCAGAGAAAAGATAAGCCGTATCTGTCCCCTCAGTTTACAGCTTCTCAACAGCCACTAAAGGGTTAGCTATGAGTTGGTTCCGAACCCAAAGCAATTTTGAGGAAGATTTCTTTTGTTGTTGTGTACCATAGAGTCTAAATCAACCCGGAGCTGACCGGCGCGTTTTCAGAGGCAGTGGGTCAAAGCTGACACCTTCAAATTTTGGAGTACAAGGCACACAGGCAGTTGAACGTGGTGTAACATATCCTAAGTATGTCAGACTAACTATCAGAATCTTCCCCTCCAACGAGTGGCCTGGTCTCACCCTCTCTAGGATGAGCCTGTTTGTTCTCT